GGTCTCTTCTGCCATTCCTGGTTTCTTGGTCACTCCGCCCATCGCCAAAAGCTTCCCACCTTTTTTGACCCCTCCTGCATTTTCTCTTCCTTTCACCTAAATTTTCTGGTGACTCTCGCAACCTCAACCCTCCCCGACTTCCCTCACCCTCCGCCCGACTCCCTCCCCACAACCTCTCTTGGGCAGCCTCATTCCCCTCGGCCCTTTCTCACCCCCCCCTCCCTCCCACCGACTTCTTCGCCCCCGATCCCGCCTCTTTCCCCCCGCAACGAAATCCCCGGCCACAGGCGATTTCTTTTTGCTTATCTCACTGTCGGTATCTCTCGCTGGCCCGCCTGCCCGCCCAGAGCGACCTGACCCATTCTAACCCCGCCCCCAGGTCAACACCCACCAAATAGTAGCAACCGCCTCCCGCGCACCGATTCCATTGGCGGCCCCGCTGCGCCTTTCCGCGTCGTGACCTCCATCACCTCCAACTGTACGTTGCACATGTCCCCCCGCTTCAAAGTTGACGGGACACGCTCGCTATAGCGCACTCCCTCTCCTTCCCCTCTGTGTTCAGTTCGTCATCTGCGCTTCGGTGCGAACTACCACGGCTGGGACTTGGAGAAGGAGCATCGCAAGAGCTTCCGAGAGCCACCTCTTCCCGTCGATCCTCTTTCGTCCCCAGTTCCCATCTCTCCCCTCTCCCCTCTCCCCTCTCCATCAACCTTCTCTCTCCCGCCCATACATGACGACTAATTCTCTCCAAGCTTCCCCAACTCGACCTTGTCCTGTTGTTCCTTGTCTCCAAGCCGAGCAATCCACCCCGCCTCTCGCGCGTCCCTCCAACCGTTTCGCAAATACCCAAAATGTCGTCTTCTCAAGAGAACCTCGCCAATGGCGGCGACATCGCCGACTCGCTTGACCAGCTCAAGCTCAGCGACAACGAGCCGCGCCTCGGTCCCGACGGAGAGCCCGCCCCCAAGACGGAGGAGGAATATGCCGTGGCCAACCTTACTCTGAGGGCCATCGTCTCCTCCAAGGAGGCCGGTGTCATTATTGGAAAGGGTGGCAAGAACGTTGCCGACTTGCGCGACGAGACCGGTGTCAAGGCCGGCGTCAGCAAGGTCGTGCAGGGTGTGCATGATCGCGTCCTCACCATCACGGGTGGCTGCGAGGCCGTTTCTCGGGCCTATGCCGTGGTCGCTCGCGCCCTCCTCGAGGGTGCTCCTTCGATGGGCATGGGCGGCGTCCCTCAGGGCAACGGCACCCATCGTAAGAAGACTCCCATAAATTACGCCGTGGACACTATGCTGACCTGACATCTCGCAGCCATCAAGCTTCTCATTTCGCACAACCAGATGGGCACCATCATCGGCCGACAGGGCCTCAAGATCAAGCACATCCAGGACGTGTCGGGTGTGCGCATGGTGGCACAGAAGGAGATGCTGCCGCAGTCCACAGAGCGGATTGTCGAAATCCAGGGTACCCCAGAGGGCATCCAGCGTGCCATCTGGGAGATCTGCAAGTGCCTGATCGACGATTGGCAGCGCGGTACCGGCACCGTTCTATACAATCCTGTCGTCCGAACCCAGACGGCCACGACGCCGGCCCCGGGCGGTGGAAGCAGCAACTATCCCCAGGAGAGGGCCCCTTATGGTGGCAGCCGTGTCACCCGCACAGGCAATGGTGCCGATTTCAGCAACGGCGGCCAGCGCCCGTTCAATCGCCGTTCCGATTCCGATGCCGCCTCCCGAGGCCCCCCCACGCATGACGAGAATGGCGAGGAGATCCAGACCCAGAACATCAGCATCCCCGCTGATATGGTTGGCTGCATCATCGGCCGTGCCGGCTCCAAGATCAGCGAGATCCGCAAGACGTCCGGTGCTCGCATCTCCATTGCCAAGGTAAGCCTTGCCCGCTTGCTGTGATGACATGGTCGATGGCTAACTCCTGTCGCTAGGCTCCTCATGACGAGACTGGCGAGCGCATGTTCACCATCATGGGCTCGTCCAAGGCCAATGAGACGGCCCTGTTTCTTCTTTATGAGAACCTTGAGGCCGAGAAGATGCGCCGTTCGCAGCCTTCTGGTCAGGGCTCGGAGTAGTACCCCGAGGAGGTCCAGAAGCCCCATTCTCGACTCTGAGGGTTCCACCATTTTGACTGTTGAACAGGATGAAGTGGTTGCCGGTTGCCCATTCTGATTTGTCGGGTTCTCGGGTTCGGGTCGGATTTGGGCAGCGCCCTTGCTTTGGGGTTATTTCCAGATCTGACTGCCGCAAGGCTTGTTATTTGGCGGGCGGGATATGATGTCACGACTCTTTTCTTATTCACAAAAAAGCATTTCGCTGGGGGTTTTTTTTTTCTCGGCCTAAGTTTCACTCACTCCCTCACCGAACCACACCCTCACCGAAACCGGTTTCTCCAGCGACCGCCTGTCAATGACACAAGTTTCCATCACCCCCGGGGACTTGGGCAGGCGGTCCGCTGTTCCAATCTCATACTTGGCTCAACCCGACTTCCGATTACAACCCCGACGACATGTTCGACCCCCCATCTCGATTCTTCATTACTCGCCATGCCTTCACCATACTTTCACTCTCGCAAATCTCGTATCCAGCCCACCACGCCCTGCTCGGGCTTCTCAGTTCTACGATACCGATACGACCGATAATTCCTCTTCCTCGCCTCTTTTACCCCTCCGTCGGGCCGGTTGGTGGATGCCCGCTGCTGTCGCGGCCTGTTTGCCTGTACAGCCCTCAGCTGGACAGGTGTGGTCTTTGCACCAAACAGATCTTAGGAAAGATGCCTTTTTTGAGGCCATCTAGGTGTAGACAAGAGCAGAATATACGAGCAATAGGTCAATTGGCTCTCTCCAGCTGTGATTCCATCCCATGTGATGTGTGAGATGTATTTTTGATCCATTCTGGGCTTGTGATTTGGTTGAAACTCCGACAACGGTTGAGACTCGGGGAGCTCAGGGTTCCGCCATGTGGTACCCCGCATCCGGGGGCAAGGGCCCAAAGGAATCCACCGAATAAAGTTAGGAGGGCAGCTACACAGTACAGGGCTGGTTAGCGCCGCCACTTGGCCCTGAAGCCACTGTCACAGTGTCAGGGCAGAACGCGGTCGCGAAGGGGGAAAAGCCACCTTGTCCGGATCAAAGACAACGACACGTCTCGACCATGGCAGCGGGAACCAGCTCCCACAACGTCCGTATCTGAGTGTTTTTTCTTTCTTTCTATTTCCTCCCTTTTTGCTACTCTTCTAGACGCTCTTTTCCCCATATCTTTCCCCTTCCTTTAGTGGGCTTGCGACACAGTTAGGGATTTCCTGACTCGAGGACCTCTCGACAATGGCGCGCACGAAGCAGGCGACGCCCATCCGGCGCGAGCCCTCGTCCGAATACATCAGCAAAAGCGATCGCTCGCCCAAGAGAATGGTCGCGACACCGGCCGAAGCTTCCCCCAAGGCCAATGGCGAGGCCGGCGGCGGAGCCGTCGCCCCCGCGCTGTCCACCAAGGAGGCCGGCGTGGTCACGCTCATCGTCGACGTCGCCGGCATCTACGCCTCGTTGTACGTCCCACGCCCCCTCCCCTTCCTCCACGAGACAGCAAACTAACCCCCCTCCCTCTCCGCAGCCTCACATGGGCCTACCTCCAAGAAAAGCTCACAACAACCAAATACGGCCCCGCCGGCGAGCGCTTCAAGTTCTCCGTCTTCCTCCTGACGATCCAATCCCTCTTCGCCGGCGTGGGCGGTCTCCTCTTCACCTACTTCAGCACGCCGCGGGGCCGGCCCGTCCCGCCCATGATCCCCAACCGCCGCATCCTCACGCCGCTCCTCCTCGTCGCCTTCACCAACGCCCTCGCGGCGCCGTTCGGCTACGCCGCCCTCGCCCACATCGACTACATCACGTACATCCTCGCCAAGAGCTGCAAGCTGCTGCCCGTCATGCTGCTGCACGTGACCGTGTTCCGCAAGCGCTACCCGCTGTACAAGTACGGCGTCGTGGCGGCCGTGACGGCGGGCGTCGCCGTCTTCACGCTGCACTCGGGCGCGGGCCGCAAGAAGGCCGTCAGCCACAGCGGCCAGACGGCGTGGGGCATGCTGCTGCTGGCGGTGAACCTGCTGTTCGACGGCCTGACCAACAGCACGCAGGACTACATCTTCCAGACGTTCCAGCCGTACTCGGGCCCGCAGATGATGGCGGCCAACAACCTGCTATCGTCGGTGCTCACGGGCGGGTACCTGCTGCTGAGCCCGTGGCTGGTGAGCACGCCGTTTGGCCTGTGGTTCGGCATGGACGTGACGGGCGGCGCGGGCGAGCTGGCGTCGGCGCTGGCGTTTATGCAGCGGTATCCGGCCGTGTGGAGGGACGTGCTGGGGTTTGCGCTGTGCGGGTGCGTCGGGCAGGTGTTCATCTGTGAGTCTTTCTCTCTCTACTTCTAGATTGCTGGAAACGTTGGCTGACTAGGTGGCGGCGGCAGTCCACACGCTCTCGACGTTTTCCTCGGTCCTGCTGGTGACGGTCACGGTGACGCGCAAGATGTTCACCATGATCCTCAGCGTCGTGGCGTTTGGGCACAGCCTGTCGCAGATGCAGTGGCTGGGAGTTGGACTCGTGTTTGGCGGGATTGGTGTCGAGGCGCAGATTGCGAGGAGCGAGAAGCAGGCCAAGGAGGCCGCGAAGAAGGCCGCGGCGGGCAGGAAGGGGGAGTAAGCGCCGAGGGGTCGAGGAGCGGATGCTGGAGAGAAGGGGGTGCTGCGGTGGAGATACCCGAGGCGGTGCAAAGGTCGAAGGATAGACTTATAAAGACAAACTTCAAAGAGCAAATAACTGTACATAGATAGGTCTCTTAAATATCACCATCCAAACCATAGATGCCAACTTACCGATTTCCAACCACTTCCCTTTGCGCAACCATCGATTGACAACCAACCTTTTGCAACCCAGCCAGGGGCCAAACAAATTGTAAAAAGTAAAAAAGACACAACAGGCAAAAAATAGAATGGTACTCTCCCGCCGGGAATTGAACCCGGGTCTCGAGCGACGTCAGGCATCCTCTTGGGGATGAGTTGACAAGCTCACATACTGACCACTATACTACGGAAGATTTTTTGCAGGTGTGTGGCACCCGTCGTAGTTTCTCGGCTGGTTGTGGAATTGGCAGTGGGTAAGGGACGATATGAAATGTGGATGCACCTGCCTGCCTGAAGAAAATGTGGGAATGTGCCGGCCATGTGGGAGTCCACTGTCAATGGAGTTTGTTGTGGATCTTCTCCCTGGTGGGTCGAAACCAGAAGCATGGGGGGGCATGGAGTTGATGACGACGGGAGCGTGATTCTGGGAAGAGTAGCAGGCCGGATCTTGAGTTGTTCTCATACAGGAACCTAGAAGCATGAAATATCTTGGCTACGAATCTGTTCCCTTCGTGTTAGACGGAAGATGTGTCCATCATCCACCCCCCAGCGAAACACCCCTCGCCCAGGTCGTCATCGCGCAGAGATAGAGGTGACAATTCAAGATGAACATCTCGAAGCCACGCAAGACTATGATGGAATGTCCATTTTGCTAGCTGCCAGCATGGGAATACACACAACGAAAGGCTCTTATTTCTGCTCAACATCCAGTCATGCCCAAACAACCTAGGCCCCCTTCCCCCAGAACTCCGTGGGTATCTCGACAGACGGATAAACATCGAAGACCCCAATTCCCTTTCTCCCAGCCCGACGCGCGAGTCCCTCGTCGTAGTGACTTGTGATGAGGCGGGGGTCGAAGAAGAGCGATCCCCAAGTCTATCCTCGTCCAGCAAATAAACAAGCTCCGACAGCGCATGTTATCCAACACCCCATCCCCCGCTTTCCCTCACCCCAACCTGCCCCCCCCCCTTCCGTCCCGTCCATACCCCCCACAGAATGAGGGCAATCAAGACACCATGAAGCGCCGTGCCCGTGGGGTTTGCATGAGTGTAAAACAGAAACCCCTCTTCTCTTGTCATGACATGTCTCTAGATTATACATTTTCGTTAAGTAACGATGATTGGTTCAACTCCACCACTTCCCCGGAAAAAAACTCTGGGTCAGTATAAGGGTGCCGGCGTCGCCCTCCACTGCGCCATGCTGTGTTGTGTGCGCGCGGGTGGCCAAAAGAAGTACACAAAAACGGTAGACAAAAGAAATATAGACGTCAGGTATCATCGTGGTACTCTCGTGGTTGTGTTGCGGCAATCATGCCGTTGCCCATTAAATCCTCCTGCGGCCAGATAGTAGTGCTGCGGAAATGCATCGCGAATTGGTGAGTCGTAGGGGTGGGGGATGTCAGTCCCGACGTGCCATGGTTGGATACCATGCGGGAGGTGGGGCTCCCAGAGTCCTCAAGACTAGATCATCTCATCGATCGATCGGACGATGGGCGTCTCGCCCTTTGTCGGGGGACTGCGCGGATCTGTGACTTGGGGAGGGCGGTGGAAAGGGAATAGAGGGTTGCGAGGAAACATCGTTTCTCGAGGCGAAAACATGCCGCCTTCGGGTGGCGAGGGAGGGGTTTCGACAAACTGCAACCCAGGGGCGGTGGAAAATGCTTCGTGGAATGGGTTGCTCGTCATTGTCTCAACCCGAGGAGACATGAGCGCGTCGTCGTCGGAATAATTTGCCATCATCGCCATGGGAACCTCGGGGATAATCTCTTGCTTTTGTGTCAAGGGCAGCTGGGGAACGAATTGGGGCTTCTCCCCGGAAAGTGGCTTCTCCACCAAGGACGGCGCAGGAACGAGCTCCTTCTTGACTTGCATCCTCGCGAGCGACCTGGGCGGAGGGCACAGGGGCATGGGGGCTGCCTTGGTTGGCGGGTTGAGCGTGAGAGGAACAAAGCCGAAGCCCTCGGGCGATCCGCCAAACCGGTGGGCTCCGAATCCGGGAGAGGGTGGCGGCTTGAAGGTCATCTCCGGCGCGAAGCCCGGCGACATCGGCGGCAGCGTAAAAGAGGCTGGTGGAAACCCAGGCGACGGCGGTGGTCGGGAAAAGGTGAGAGAAGGGAACCCGGGCGAGGGGGGAGGTTTCGAGAGGGAATTGGACGACGCAAATCCAGAGTCAGGCAACGCTGGTTTCAACAGCGTGCTGAACTCAAATCGTCCGAACTTCCCCTTGTCCGTTTCGTCTTCCTTCTCCGTCCAAGAAAAGCTGGAAGGGGCCGATGACGGCCCAGGCGAGATGGGCTCCCGGTTCGGCGTCGAGCTTCCCCGGGGCCTGGTGGGACTCCTGTCTGGAGACCTGCTCGTGGCACCTGGCTCCTCATTGGGGAGCGGGGCAGTCAGTGGCTCCTTTGGGGTCCGCTCCATGTTATCCACCGACAACGTCACTCTGTGTTGCTTTGTCGGGCTTTTCCCCGACCAGATGCTGAGTCCTGCGCTGAGCAGCCTTTGCTTTTTCGACATCTCCTTTTGGAAATCCTGCAAGCAATACATCAACCGCATGTTGGGGCTGATCCACCGACTCCTGGCCTGGGCAGCATAGTAGGCGTCGTTGACCGACAACTCGGGGTTCCGGTAGATGCCGTAAGCAATGATGAGACTGGCTGATCGGCTGGCGCCTTGTTGGCAGTGGATCAGGACCTTCTTTCCCTCCTTCGCTCGTTTGTCGATGAGTTCGCACAGGGACATCAACTCGGGCCCAATGTCAGTATTGTGGTCCCATGGCATGTGCACATACTCTGGTTCCTTGAGAGGCTGCGCTTTCGGAGTGGTGGGCGTATCGGCTCGATCATCTGGAAAGTACTCGAAAGCAGTGGAGAAGCTAGCAGCTGTGAGAGCCGTATCTGGGATTGGCGACTCGTCCGCGGGCCTCTCCGGTACGTGCGCCTTTTCCTGTGGTGGCGGGGGTGCCGCGATCCCAACCTGGAAGGGATTGTGAACTTCGCGGGCCACATTGATAACCAGGTCGAACTGGGCAGCCTCCTCGGCCGTGGGCTCCAAATAGAGAAACACATGGTCAGGGTAGATGCAGATGGGGCCGTCGGGGTAACCAGGTGTCTTTTGGTCCTCGTTGTTCTCCACCTCGTGGAAGGGCTCAATGTCGAAATGGCTCCGGTTGGCCATCTGCGGCTTGATGGGGGAGTCTTCCTCGGCAATCGTTGTGTTGAGTCCGGGGACGTTGGGAGGAGGCCGCGACGGTCGGAAAAACGTCGACAACCCACTCTCATTCCGCTCCAAGACAGTAGGGATCGTCATGCCGCCGGGGGGACCAAACGTTGCGGATTTGAGGCCCGAGAGCATGTGCGGGGACGAGGTGGAGTGCTTCAATGCCCGACGCTGGAGTATAGGAGGGATGGAGAGCGTAGGGACGGACGGAGATCGGGGAATTTCAATGGTGGTGCGCGCGGCAAGCTCGGTTGATTTGGTGTTGAGGCTGAGAAGACTCGGCTTCCTCTTCATGCCTGCGATGACGGGCTTGATGAAGGACGATGACGGAGAAGAGGGTTCGGACGTGACGGACGAGGAGAGGGAGCTGAAGGGGGCCTGGATCGAGAGGCCCTTCATGTTTTTGGGCCGCCGGGGCGCGGGGGAGGTCATGGGCCGTTCCAATGTGGTCGGATCAGAAACGGTCAGCCCGGCCATGCCAGACAGGCCGGCGAAAGAGGGCGGCGCAAAGTTGGAGAGCGGCATGATGTTTACCGGGGAATCGGGCGAGGAGGAGGGAGAGGGGTCTGAGAGGTCAGACGAGTCTGCGCACGACACAGTCGTCGTCGGCGACGACTCGGCCGACTCGGTTGTCTGGGTCGAGGTGCTGTTGTGGTGCTTGTGCGAAGCATCCAAGGGCAGCGTAGACGGATGCAGTTCTGGTTGTGAGCTCTCTGGTAGTTTTGCCGGTTCCATTCCCATCACTAGCTTTGGGTCGATCAGGGTGACGAGACCGGACTGGTCCATGCTGTCGCTGTCGACACCATACACTGACATGAACGAGGGTATTTGATCCTCATACAGGCGTCTCACCGCAGCAGAAGGCATATTCGGTGCAATGTGCGTCGCCTGGTCGCCGTGCCTTGCCAGTGGGACCCAGAATGGCCCAGGTCTTGCTTGGTTCAAGTCGCAGCCACGTTCGGTTCGTGGCAGGGCGGCCAACCAAGTCGAGCGGCTCGCCGATGTGTGAGAATCGCCGCTCGCACCAATTGGGCGGTTCGTACGAGAGCCGCAAGGCAAACTGCCGAGCGGAATTAAGGAGCGTTGAGAAGAAAAAGTCGTCGAACACCAGTTCGAGACGGGGGGTGGAGGGCTAGGCCGGACAGCACTGCTGAATCCTTTCCACGTTTGCTCTGGCGTCTGCGGGTGTCGCAACAGGTCCGCTTCCTTTCCGACGTCGTGGGGTCCAGCTGGTGCCTTCTGAGCAAACGGCCGTCGCTGAGGACCAAGAGTCTGTGTCGCCAGCCGAGGCACAGCGAACAATGGGGCGCTCGGGGCCCGCCGTTGTTTGCGAGCGGAGGCTTGGAACTTGTCTCGAGGTGACAGAATCGGCGCACGAGGAGGTGGTGACCGAGGCGCAGTCAACGAGGCAGGGCGAGCCGCTGTTGTCGGGGACGGCGGAGGGGGCGAGGAGCAGTGGGCGACCTAAGGGCCTCGATGTCAATACATTGTCGGGTGTGAGTCGCAGGTCGCTGGCAGGGGGAGGTAGGAAGAGGGCAAATGGGACTCGGGCGATGGGCTGTCTACCTGGGTCAAGAGAGAGACAGACACCGACAGCGGGGTCCCCTTGATTTCTCTTTGTCTCGTGCGATCAGTCGAGTCCCGGCCGCGAGGGTTGTCGGCGGGGCGTGTCGCGTTTCGTTGTGGTATCTTTTTTTTTTCGGCGATGGAGGGAAGGAGGAGAAAGGAAACGGGAGGGGAGGGAAGAGAAGTCGCTCGTCGGGAGAGTGTGGTGGTGGTCTGGTTCACGGAACGGGGACGGGGGCGGCAGGTCGGGCGGGTGGCAGTGGGAAAGAGACTCGGGAGGGAGGAGAGGCACTGAATTGGGGGGCAGAGGGCGACGCCGGCCCTTGCACGGGTCTTCTGGCGTGCCAGAGCAGTGCGGCGAGGGACACTGGGGGGGAAGCCCCCAGGGCCCAAGGCGGCCACCTGAGGCGGCTGGGAGCAGCGAGTCTGGGTCTGGTCTTGGGTCTGGACGCACTGGCCACCTCACTGGCCGGCGGGTGGCTGTTCCCCTCTTGGCTTGGTGCAGGGGCGTTGCCGGGATTGTGGGTCGCGGGGGCCGCCCTTGGCCAATTGCAACTGCCCAACGACCCTGTGGACGACGGCTAGCCGCCCTCGCGACAGCCTGCTTCAGACAATGCAGCTAAAAATAGTAAGTGCGACTCGGGACGCAAAATTTGCCTGCCAGGCCTCATTGGACGAGCGTCTGCGGGAGGGTGCTATCAGCCAATCAGGGGCTCCGGCAGGACTCGATGCGAGCACAACCGACAGGGGGGGGGGGGGGGGGCTGGTCCCTCCCGCCAAAGCCTTCCCTTTTGCAAGTCGCAACCAGCAAGAGCGACGCTTTCCTCGCACTCGCACCTTGCCTTTGGCGGCCGTCTGCGGACAGCAACTTCCACTGCATTTCGATACATGATTCTTCGAGGCCCTACATTTCGACATCGGCGACGGGACTCCTTGTGGTTGCTCGCTTTTGTGTATGAATAGGCACTGTATGGATGCCGCACACGGAGGAAGGATGGGAACCTTCACCCCCTCCTTAACCGCCCCTCAACCTCTCCGTCGCAAGCCGTCGGGGTGCGTGCCCGCTGTCCAACAGCCCAGCGGCCAGACCCTCACTTCCGCTTCCGTAGTCTCGGGCGCTTATAGTGACGGGCAAGGAATCCGCCCCTCTCATCAATAGTCGCTAGCTCAGGGCTGCGGCTGTTGACTCAATCACAGCTCCTCCTCAGTGTCACTTTGGCCCGAGTGTCTGTTATTTTCCTGTTCCCATGTCAAGTGCCCTTCCGGGCCGCGTGAGAAATGACCGATTCTATTAAAAACCTCACCACGCCGTGGTAGTTGTACGGGCGAGGTCGTCCTGAAGGGACGTCTTCAAGTCGAAGTTGGGAGCCACCAACGTTCGCACGCACGTGCGTCGCCGACGTGCACCTATCGGCCACCCAACCAGACACTTGACACAGAGTCAATTCAACGAGTTTTGTTACGTGTTATCGGAGGGTACAGGTATGGATGCCAGCACGAGATGCACGTCCGAATGGGCCGATCAGGGACAACTAGAAACAAAACAAGTAGCTACCTACCCTGGAGGTACGTCGTTGGTTCAAGAGGCACCATCAGGTTGCCAGCATAGCCCCAAGCCTTCACCATTTCGACGACCTCTATGGAGAAGAGGACAAATTTCCACTCGTGTTTTATTTCCATCCCGCCGTCTTTGGCCCCTCCTCAGCGCTTTTGCATGCCGCCAGCCGGTGGACGTGGAGCTGTGCCACCGACCCAGGTGCCACCGAACCGCGCTGGCTCGCCTGCGGGCTTCCATCGATTCTCGAGGCGCACACCCCGGCAGATCTGAAACACAAGCCGTGGGTCACACCATCACGCTACCTGCACCAACGGGGGGGATGGTCAGATCCACCCTCTCCCACCCCCATTAGGAGTTGCTGTCGCTCGGGTCCGACCCGAAACCGACATCAGCCAAATTCGACAACGACAGCCCAACAACACCCGACCCGCTGTTGCAACAACCCAACCCTCGCTAAGCGCAGAGCCTCGCATTGTTTGTTTACATGGCCCCCTGTGTGGGATAAGGGGCCCGGGACGAGCCATCGTTGTTGTGGCGATGCTCGAGCCCGCCGCCGCACGTCCACAGGCCCTTACAGTCACCAAACTCAAAACAATCGGGGCACTGTTTCGAACTTGAGGGCCAAATCAAATCGATGGTCATCACGATTTGCCTCGTTGATGACGTTGGACTGGTGGATGGTCACGGTCTCACCACGTCGCTACCCCGATTCACTCTCTCAAAGGTAGTCAACATATCTACGCCACGCCGAACCCGACCAAAGAATGGTAACCGGGCCCCGCGTCACAGCCCCTACCGGGATTTGGAACCTCAGCGTCACGGGACTGGAGTTGGAGGGCTCTTCCTCAACTCCTGTCCCTAGACAACCCCCCCCTCTCTAACTAGCTGGCACATCACTTGCACACACACTGCTCCAGTCCCATCATTGACAAAAGTCCAATCCGGCATGCGATGTTCCCTCCAGCTGTGAGCTTGACAGACTGACTCGTTGCGTGGACAACCCAGCCTCGGCCATGTGTACAAACTCCACACTCGGCTATCCACCGTTCATCCACACACCCACTCGGCCGTCATGATACCCATTATTGGTACGTCTTTCCATGGTCGGATGGCGCAATGGTAGCGCGTAAGCTTCCGGTCTTGCATCAGCTTGCTTAAGGTTTTGGGTTCGAGTCCCAATTCGATCGGAATCATCCGTGATATCTTCTAGTTATATGGTGACCAACTTTCTTTTTGCCGTTTGTCGTGCTTCCAAATTCCCTCGGGGGTTACAACTTTCGAGGCCTGCCATGACCGGTGCCCTCGGCGACGTCAAGCTTTCAACTTCTTTTTTTAAGGGGGGTGGTGGTGCTGGGTTGAGTGGAGTTCTTCCTCCGGGAATGTCACAATTCCGGGGGTTCTGCCATTGTACATATATCCACCTCTCCTTTGCCATAGTTCGAGTACAAAGTAACGGGTATCCGACTTCACTGGGGCCTTGGCTTCTCTGCGGCAAGGTGCATGTGGCATCAACCACCAGTGACCAAAGTGTCTACAAGCTAGGCCCTTGCATTAACAGCCCTATATTCTTATAGTTCGCCAGCAAAGCTCTTACTTAACTATAGTCCCGCTACAGTAGTGGTTATCTATGTTGACAGTTACTATGCAGGGCAAGGCTTCTAGCGAGCAAGCAATATTTAGGTTAGTTTATAAACCTTAAGAGTACGTATCTAGTGTACCTGGCCGCCTAGATACCTAGACCCTGGTTTCTCTTTCCAGCTATGACGAATCCAGGCCGCCAGCATAACATAATAAACCTTCTATACCTCTGCGGTGGCACCTATCTTTACCAGAGTCTGTTTCTCTCTACGCACTGGAGCCTGCCCATAGCCTTCAGACTTCAACTACCCAGCCCCTACCAGCGTATGTGTACTAAGAGCGCGGCAATGCCACCCCGAATGTACCTGCTCGCACCCCGCACATGTAAACATCAAGTGTACAAATGTCCGTCGTGAGACTTTGAGGATTACCATGGCCATGGCGACGAACAGCTGAATTCTAGACGAGGAAGCCTACGTACCTATCTTTTGTCGTCCAGCTTAAACCGTCATGCCGAGCCGAAATAGGGTTGGTGAAGGGAGGAGAGGTATCTGGTGCCATGCGTTTACTGAATGGCGCACCAGAGGCGCCTACGGCGTTTGACTTGGTCCGGCCAGCTGGATCATGCGGCCGGGAGATGCACTTATGTTGTATGGGATTTCGTGAGTTGAGGTAGTGATGCTGGCACGGGTTGGGTGGCGAGGGGGAGGCTGGGATGTGAGACGAAATGGGAGGAATGCCCACGGAAAACCTCTAGACTGCCTGATGGGAATAGTTTCAGGTTAGGGCGGGGTAATAGCGCTGAGTTGTTGTGTTGGGGGATGAAAGGTCATTTAAGTCCAGGTGGAAAGGATGGGAAGGAACTGAACGCACTATAACGGGAAAGTGTGGAACGTGGTGCTGGCTGAGGAGGCTGAGGGAGGGAAGGTCCATAATGATGATCGAAAACTGCTTGATGAGGTACGGGGTATTGACATACGGCCTCCTTGGGAGGTTCCCTCTATACAGGTTCGAATTCGCAGACCAGATTTCACAGTTGGGTCTCGCCAAAGGTAGCCGACCTTGGTCGAGTGGAAGTGTGTTGCGCCATTTCTTCTCACCAGCACCACCACACACACCACGTTTATGATGCTTGTCGACGACGACATTGCTTGCGACAAGAAACCCGTGCCCTACTACGTTGACGCATGCCCTCATAGAGCTATTCCATGGCGTGTGCACACTTTGATCAACCATGATATGTTTCAATGGTGGAAAATACACAAGTTGTGCTGGTACTGGCTACCTTAGGTTCGATAGAGAAGAGGTTGCGCAGATCAGGAGGCTAAGGCACCGGTCTCCCCTGTCACCAAGTGTACTAGCATCAGTATGCCTAGGATGCGAGTCATCGAGACTGCGACCTACCTATTCTTCCAAGCTATATTTCATGGAGGGGACTGAGGGTATGCCTCAACCTGCCTTGTGACACAGATGTATCAATTGATGCTACCTGGGTTGGGCGACGGAACATTCGGCTTTGCATCCAACTCGTGGATTTCGTCGACCATTGACATCGAGAAACACATACCAAGAGTCGGCACTCGGGATCCTTTATTTTATCGTGGGCCCGGCCGTCCCCGTGCTTGTCCGGCCACTCGGCTCCGGGCCGGCAGCAATGCGGGGCCGGGGATGATGTGCATATCCCGGCTCGAGCGGGGCTCCTACCCCCCCCCCCCCTCCCTGCCGCCGGTCCGTGCCCCGTGGGCATCTCGTCCAAAATCGGATCCTTGTCGCTTTTGCGACGCGGAGAGCCCCACGGAGGAAAAAGAAATGCGAGCGGCGCGAAACGCACTTTAGATCGGGATGATGCTAGCATCCCGGCGCGGCTCATTTGCCAATTCTAAAGAAGAAAAACCACGAGAGAGGTGTCAACCACCCCTCCGTCCGGGCTTGATCTGTCGTCGATGTTCTGTCAGTTCGGGGAAAGCATCAAAACGAGACGGTGGACAGCACGCGTCTCTCGTCGCGTTGCGCTCCCCCCGTCATCTTCCCAAGTTGGACCGGGAGCCTACCCCTGAGAGGGGATCGCAGGTTAAGAGGATGGCGAGGAGCGCTTGTGCGTGTGCTTCTCGAGCCGAGACCAACGTGCCCACAGGCGTTCCACGCTTCTTTTCCTCCGACATGCAGCGAGGCTAGCCCAAACCGTCGCTGCGACATGCAGCGCTAGATCTCTTGCTTTTCAGCCGGGCAGCGAGGCGCGACTTTGAGACTTGTCTTGGGCTCTACGGGCCGCAGCAGAAAGCTGATTCCGACTCCGGGGCGGTTGACCGCGGGGGAACTTCTCAAGCTCGAGGCCGGCGCGAGGAGCCGTGGGGAGAATTCGGCCTTGGCAGGGCGGGACGGACCCAGAAGATGAATTGGGTGGTTCACGGCCCGAGAGTGGGTGACAACTGTTCATCCACCCACCGGGTTTTAGGGCTGTAACCTCCCCAAACCCAGACCGCTTCTTTGGAGGCCACTGTCATCATGCTGTTTCCAAGGGATATTCGGAGCGCTCGCTGGTCTCTGGATCCGGAGTGAGACGGCGAAGGCAAACAGTCGAGGTTAATGCAACTCGAGGTCACCCGAAACCTCTGTGTCGACAGATGTAAGTACACTCCGGAAATAGGAAGGGCATGGGCTCGATGGCGGGGGGCTGTGGGCAACAGCGGTTTCTGATGCGCTGGTCAGGGATGAACTGCAGGTGGGCTCGCCTGTGGATCTCGAGCCTTCGAGCATTCCCAAAGCGAGATGTGACGGATTTGGCTGACTTGTGCATCACCAGCGAGCCCCGAGGCAGCCGTAGGATGTGATGAATGCTGCCGGTTGAATTCTCGGCACCAAACCCGGACCGCCATATCTCGAGGTTGTCGCTGGGCTGCCGGTCGTCCTCCCTCGTCGTTCTATTTCTTGCGCTTGACGTCTGCTGGACGTCTCCATTCTTGCCGATCACCCCGGAATTTAAAAGTGCCCACGGGCCGCCGCTGAGCACTGCTGGGAATGTGCATGTCGTCGTTTCGAGGGTGCAAGATGCAAATGCTGAACGGCCCTGATTCGCCAATGGCTCGATGAGGTGTGTATCGCAAAGAGTGCGTCAAGGGTTCGTTGCCCTGGGGTTGTTCCTGGCCCCCGAACCCCCTTTCCAGCCTCCCCGACCCCCCTGCTTGCCGGCCGGTGACCCTGGCACGTTAATTCAAGATCCTCAAACAACACGACCAAGATTGTTGGTGATGGCCCTTCATTTCGACAAAGGACCCGTTGTCTCTCCAGGGCCAACTGCATCTGCGCCGTGTGCGGAGGCCTGGATATGGTGGCCGCACAGGAGACGGCAATTGCCGTTGCTGGGTCTGCCGGCGAAAAGAGACCCGAATATCAGAAGGTTGCGGAAGAGAGCCCATCACGGCTCGGTGATGGAAGCCTTCAACATGGGCTGTTCGAAAGATGCTCAAGCCCCTGCCCCTTCAGCGGAGATACGGCATGCATCCCACCAAAACAGGGGAGCGGTTGGGCTTGTCGAGGACGGGACAGCGGTCGTTGTGCGGGGGTGTCACTGTCGGGATTGTACTCTAGGATGTTTTCCGCTTCCAACGCTTCCGACGGTGACGAAGCGGCATGGGCGTGGAATACGACGGTGAAAATCAAGAGACAAATTTTGGTGTTCATTATTCCGCAGGTCGGCCACTTGTCAAGCGACATCATCTGGTCGACCATGGATGGCCGAAGACATGGACTGCGGGGGAAACGAGGTGGGAGGAGGGGCGCCTGAGACGGCCTGTTAGTCCGATTTGCTGACGCCGGCCGGTCTCTGGCCGAGCACCTGCTCCGGCTCCGGCTTGCGCTAGCACGTTCGGCCCATCGATGCGCCTGTCTGGGTCCGTCCGAGTCGAATTTGGAAAAGAGGGGCCAGTTTGCTGGTGGTGTCATTCGACAGCGGGCCGTGTTCAAGGGTTGCGAGGTTCCATCAGCAAATGATCCGCGTGTCCGCCATTCTCCATGCCGCCGAAGGTTGCTTTTTGCATCGAGCACTGCGGGAGCGAAGAGACAAGAGGTCACAGAGGTGTATTTGCACCTGAGCGTGTTGGATTGTCCTGTAGGTGTGTAGGTACCCAACCGGCCGGCATAGTTGGGTGACCAGTCCATGTTGATCGCTCCCATTCGTGCCCGAGCCGAGCGACGGGTTGGCTTGGTTGGATGAGTTGGCCAAGGGGTTTGTCTCTGCGATGCGATGCTTCCCAATCCCGACCGCCACTCCACTAAGCCCATTTCGCTCCTCATTATCCTGGCGCTGCCCACCGCGCCCACGCCCACGCCCTAGGTTGCCCTCGAGAACCAGAGGCACTTTCTTTCCGCCCTCATCTCTCCTTCACCCTGGCCTTTGCTGGCGTCGACCTTTTGCTCCCATTCGAACTTGTTTTCAACGTGGTCTCCGCGACCGTCCATACGCCTTTTAATCCCCTAATACCGATTTCCTGCCTTCGCTAGCGCCCTGGGTGCATCCCTTTTGCAGCGTGCCACCTTCCGAGGACCTGCGACCGGCCGACCCCGACCTCGCCGAGCAAACTTTTTCTTGTTCATGTGTGTTCGAAAATTG